GAACTTGAGGAAGCATCACAGTGAGTATGTTGTGATAGTGGGTGTCGTCTTTTTAGGTCAGGTTGAAAAACACAACCAGGAAATAGAAGAGAAATCGGCATTGATTATCCAGAAGCATTGGAGAGGGTACAAGGAAAGGAAAAATTTTCACCACCAGAGGCCATCTCTCATGGAGTATAAAGCAGCTGTCACACTTCAAAGAGCAGTGAGTCTAAATAGTAAAAAAAAAGGCAAAAATATCTATTCAGTGACTGTTTCAATTAAATGTTATTTTTAATCATTGAATGTCATATTTCATATAATTTTGTCACTAAATATTATTTTCCTTTTGAATTTTCTAACTACATAAAATACAAAAACCATTTTTAGCTCTCAGGCCACACAAAAACAGGCAGCAGGCTAGATGTGGCCTGCGGGCCATAATTTGCCAACATATTTAAACAATGTAAATATGTAACTTGGATAAAAATACAAACTGCAAAAGACAGAGAAGAGTAAAAAAACTGGGAGGAATAATTTCAGATTTGTCCCAAGTCATGCCTGTTATAAGAGCTCTTATTTTTACCAGGAGTCCATTATGAAGGACATGAGAAAAGAACGTTCGGAAAGAGCTTTTGGCTGGGTACTGTGGCTCACACCTGTAATCCTAGCACTCTGGGAGGCCAAGGGGGGTGGATTGCCCTGAGTTCGCAGGTTTGAGACCAGCCTGAGAAAGAGCAAGACCCCGTCTCTAAAAAGAATAGCTAGACATTGTGGCGGGTGCCTGTAGTCCCAGCTGCTTTGGAGGCTGAGACAAGAGGATCGCTTGAGCCCAAGAGTTTGAGGTTGCTGTGAACTATGATGCCATCCACTCTATAGAGGGTGACAAAATGAGACTCTGTCTCAGAAAAAAAAAGAAAGTGCTTTTGTCATAGCCCCATCCATACTTTATAATTTTGTAATATTTTATCATTTACCAAGCTTCTCTTTATCTCTTTGATATTTATAATTCTGTAGGCTATGTAGAATTATAGAGATCGAGTGCCTTGCTCAGAATCATGAAGAACTACAATTGAGACGAGAATGCAAAGCTTATTTCCTTTTTTCCTCTTCATTATTTATTGTACAATAATCTCTGAATATATCCTTGTACAAAATTAAAGCTCTTCAGAAGAACAGATAGTAAAAAAGTCACTCTCCTTCTTCATTCTATCACAGTCCCATCATGTTCCTCATACACATTGTTAACCACTGTTGCAATGTTGTCACTACCATATATTATAGAAAGAAAATTGTTCTATTAGTCAGGGTAGAAAAATCACATGACTCCTTCTTTTTCTCTCCAGGTGCTTAAATTCCTAGCAAAATGTCGTAAGAAAAAGAAACCATTTATTCCTTGGCAAGGACTCCAAGAACTCACTGATGCACGTAGAGTTGAACTGAAGCAACAAGTGGATGACTATGTCAAAAAGCATCCAGTATGTAGTCTTCCATGCCATAATATCAGTTATATTATTCCCATGTATGATATTTACCAACAAAGCAATATCTCGTATTTATACATGTTTATTGTTGGTACAAGGTAATACGCTGACTTTACCATGTATTTAATGGATTCAGAGTGTTTTTATAGTTCCATGGCCTCAGAGATATAGTTATTTTATCATGGAATACTGCTAGCAATATTTTCTCCCCACAGAGAAAATAGTGCTTTCTCTAACATAGAGGTGTTTTTATTTTGATTTTCTTTGACTATAGTGCTGTACAGTAGGTAGCGTTTTATTTACTTTTCTCTTCTGAGTTCTTACCTTATTTTCCTATATGTCTTCAAAAGTTATTTCCTTCTCTGCCTTGAGAGCAACTCACCACTCCTGCTATTAATTTTAATCACCTGTACCTTTGCTGGTTACCTCTATTTTCTTCTTTCTTAGAGCTTCTCTCATACTTCCATACTTCTCTGATTTTGTAGAGAATGTTAGCAGATTTCCCTCATTTGAACTATCTACTCATAGTTGTGATTGTGACTGCTTTTCATTCATATAGGTTGAAAAAAGCCCATACTAATGGAAAGCAGAGTACAAATATATTAATAGTTGAGCATGTATTTGGTAACCAGGAATAGAGCAATGGTAAAAGCTGAGTTGGATAACAAGGCTTAATCCAGGAGATATAAATAGGCTTACTTTCTCCTCCTACTAATCTGAATTCAGGGACCCACACAATAGAGTGAGTCTGTGGAGAAAAAAAGGAAGAAAAAACTACCCTCATTATGTCAGGCACACTGTGGTTACCACATATAGGTAGTTAGTAAAAAAAGTTCTGACATCTGTGTGCAGCTAAGATGGAGTGAAGGGAACTGGACTTACTTCCTGCCTGAAGCAACCCCAAAACCAAGCAAAATAGATAAAATATATAAAACAATGATTTTTAAGATCTACACAGCAGATAATGAATAACAATAATTTCTGAAAAGAAACAAAGTAAACCCTATAACTGTTCCAGCTTACTGCCTTGAAGGAGTTTCTAGGCCATAGCCCAAGGAAAAGGAATTGGAAAGGAGGTTTTGGAATTCCAAATTGAGATGAAACTGAAAGTCTGTGAGACCAATGCAGCTAGACTTCACAGGACAAGAGTATCAGAGTGAAGAATACTACAAACAGAGAGAAGGCCAAATATCTGCAGAATGTACCCTTTGAATATTCTTCAGAATATTGATCAACATGTGCAAGTGAAGAAACTATTCAAGGCCAAGGAAATAGTGCTCCGAAAAGATAAGAGAGCTCACACAGGCCTGGAGTAGTACCTATTCCCATCAAATACACTGGAAAGACTTACAATTTACAGACTATTGGGAAGAGTGCTTGCAAAGATCTTCCCTTAATAGTGGCATAAAATTAGTCTATACTGTTCCATTCTGCCAAAAAAAAAAAAAAAATCAAAAAATCAAGAGCCAAAAGATTTTTAGAAATACTAAAATATTCAAGAGCCAAAAGATTTTTAGAAATACTAAAATATTCAGCACCCAACAAGATAAAAGTTACGGTATCTAGCTCCCAATCAAACCTTAATAAGCTTACATAGAAGCGAGGAAACATTATTCTTAATGAAGATGATCAGACCAACCCAGAAATTTATACAGATGTTAAAATTAGCAGAGAAGGGAATTAAAACATTTTCTTTTCAGAAAGTCAGTAGAGGCTCGGCGCCTATAGCTCAACCGGCTAAGGCGCCAGCCACGTACACCTAAGGTGGCGGGTTCGAATCCCCAGCCTGGACCCGCCAAACAACAATGACTGCTGCACCAAAAAATAGCCAGGCGTTGTGGCGGGCGCCTGTGGTCCCAGCTACTTGGGAGGCGGAGGCAGGAGACTTGCTGGAGCCCAGGAGTTGGAGGTTGCTGTGAGCTGTAATGCCACGGCACTCTACCCAGGGGGACAGCTTGAGGCTCTGTCTCAAAAAAAAAAAAAAGAAAGTAGAAGTATGGAAAATAAAATACCTGAATCAAACTTGTAGAGATGTGATATGAAAAATGCACTGGATCAAGTTAATATTAGATTAGACATTGCTGTATAAAAGATCGATAAAATTAAAGCCATAATAGTAGATACTATTTAAAATGAGTCACAAATTGGTGTGTGTTGTGGGGGGGAGGTGGGAAGAACATTACTGAGCCAAGGGACTTGAAGTGGCCCAATAAATGGATAATTGGAGTCTCTTAAGGAGAGGTGGAGAGAAAATAATGACTAAAAACTTTCTAAACTTAAAACAATAAACCCATACCAAAGCCCAGTAAAGACGTAGACACATGAAAAACCTATGCCAAGGAATATCATAATCAAAATTTTCAAACCAATGATACAGTGAAAATCTTAAAAAACGAAAACATGTTATACATACATATAAAGCTGAAGATAACATGTTTCTCAGTAGGAAAAATGCAATCCAGTGGACATCTTGCTTTTAAAAGTACTGAAAAGAGAACAAAAGGTGCACATTAGGTTAGATCCCATCAAATGACCCCCCTCCTCCCATCCATTGCCCTCTCTCCTGCCCCTCCCTTTGCTAGACTATATTTGTGTTTTATCGTTTGTGTGGATGTGTAATTATTTATATATTGGTTTCATATTCATGTTTAGTCCATTTGATTTTTTTTTTCCCATTTTGGGGATACTTTAATAGAAGAATGTGTTTCAACCCCATCCAGGTAAACATAAAAGATGTAAGGTGTACATTTTTTCTTATGGCTAAATAGTTTGTAGGGTATACACGTGCCAGTTTGTTAATCCATTCATAAGTTAACAGGCATTTGAATTGCTTCCACAACTTGGTAATTATGAAATGGGCTGTAATAAACATCCTGGTGTAAATGTCTTGGTGGTAAAATGACTTTTGTTCTTCTGGGTGGATACCTGGCATTGGGATCATGGGATCAAATGGAAGGTAAACTTTTAGTTCTTCTTCAGTATAGAATTCTTCATACTTCTTTCCATAAAGGTTGTATTAGTTTGCAATCCCACAAGCAGTGCAAAAGTGTTCCCTTCCTCCATATCCAATATCTGTAGATTTGGGATTTGGTGATGTGGGCTAATCTTACTGGAGTTAGGTGATAACCTCCTATCATCTTCAGAGAAGTTTCTGTTCCAGTCTCTTGCCCACTTAGAAATGGAGTTGTTTGTTCTTTTCTTGTTGATTAATTTGAGTTCTTTGTAGATTCTAGTTATCAGCCCTTTGTCAGATTCGTAACATGCAAAAATCTTCTCCCATTCTGGTGCTATTGAAGGCTGTCTGTTGGCTTTGGTTGTGCTACCTTTAGCTATGCAAAAGATTTTCTGCTTGATCAAATCACAGTTATTTATTTTTGTGTTGCTGTAATTGCTGGGGGAGGGGAATCTTTCTCATAAAATCTTCTCCCAGACCAGTATTTTCAAGTGTTTTCTCCACTGTCTTCTAGAATTTTTGTTTCATGACTTAAATTTAAATCTTCTGTCCAGTGAGAATCAATTTCTGACAGTGGTAAGAAATGTGGATGTATTTTCAATCTTCTACATGGGACTAACCAGTTCTCCCAGCACATTTATTAAATAGGAATTCTTTTCCCCAGTGCACACATTTGTTAGGCTTATCAAAGATCAAATCACAATATGTGGTTGGGTTCATATCTAGATTCTCTATTCCATAGATTTATGTCTATTTTTGATCTTTATAGACTTATAGTATAATCTGAAGTCTGATAACTTGATGCCTTCAGTTTTTTTTTTTATTTCTAAGAATTGTCTTGGCTATTCAATGTTTTTTCTGGTTACATATGAAACAGCTACTATTTTTTCAAGTTCTTCAAGGTATAACATTGGTGCTTTGATGGGGTTGCATTAAATCTGTAGATTGCTTTGGGTAGGTATGGACATTTTAACAATGTTGATTCTTCCCAGGCATGAGCATAGTGTGTTTTTCCATTTGTTAATGTCTTCTGCTATTCCCCTCCACCCCTCAGGGTTCGTAGTTCTCTTTATAGAGATCTTTCACATCCTTTGTTAGGTATATTCCCAGGTATCTCATCTTTTTTGGTGCTACTGTAAAAGGACTAGAATCTTTGATTTTCTTCTTGGCTTGACTGTTTTTGGCATATTGAAGGTTATTGGTTTGTGGGTATTGATTTTGTATTCTGAGATGTTGCTGTATTCCTTGATTACTTCTGAGAGCTTTGTAATTGAGTCCCTGAGGTTTTCCAGGTATAAGATCATGTCATCCAGAGAGTGAACATTTGACCTCCTCTGTTTCCATTTGAATATCCTTGATCTTCTCTTGTCTGATTGCAATGGGCAGGATTTCCAGCACTACACTGAACAGCAGTGGTGACAGTGGGCATCTTGTCTAGTTCCAGATCTAAGTGGAAATGCTTTCAGTTTTACTCCATTCAATATGATATTGGCTGTGGATTTTCTTTAATTTCTTAAACTAATAGAGGCCATCTAAAGAAACTAGAAACTATTAGTTTAAGAAATGTCCTACCTAAGCCTATTTTCTTAAATGTTCATATCAAGAAAGGATGCTGGATATTATGAAAAACCTTTTTTGCATCAATTGAGAGGATAGTATGATCTTCAGTTTTGATTTTATTTATGTGGTGAATTATATTTATGGATTTACTTATGTTGAACCAACCTTGCATCTTTGGTATAAAACCCACTTGGTGATGGTGTATAACTTTTTTTAATGTGTCACTTTATTTTGCTTGCTAAGATCTTACTAAATATTTTTGCATTGATATTCATTAATGATACTGATCTGTAGTTTTCTTTTTTGATTGGGGCCTTTTCTGGTTTGGAGATGAGGGTAATGTTTGCTTTGTAGAATGTGCTGAGGATGATTCCTTCCTTCTTCATATTTTGAAATAAATTATGCAATATAGGAACTAGTTCCTCTTTGAAGGTTTGGTAGAATTATAGTGTGAAATCATCTAGTCCAGGTCTTTTCTTTT